TTTTTTTTCCCTTCGTGGTCCTCATAGTGCATGCTAGGCAAGTGCTTTACCACTGAGTTACATCCCCAGACATTAGGGTTTTTTTCTCTTAAGGAAAGAATATCCAACATGGAACATATAAGAAACATAAATAACTTCTCTTTGAGGAAATTACTTTTGTCCAACTTATCAGCACTTTTATAGATATAATTGCCATATAAAAGAATTTAAACCATTTGGTTTATGCACAGTAGCGTAGATAGCACTTTCTTTAAAAAAACACAGAATGGCAGTGTCCTGGTCTGAAGTCCAGTCAGCAGAATGTTGGTTTAAATAAAAAGGTTGAGACCGAAATCAAAGGAGGTTGAGGGTTGAAGGGCTATTTTACCAGGGCAGGGAAAGCCCTCTAAACCATTTTCTAATGGCCTCATTGTTAGAATTTCTGCCTTGCTCCTTAAGTCCTTTATTTTATAATTAATGAGTTAACTCATTTCTATATAAAAATATTTACAGGAAATTCTGACTTAATTCTTTAACAAGGAAATATGCATGTTAAAAAATAAAAATTTTCTCAATTGGTTTTGAGTAAATTTCTGCTTTGGCTTCCTGTACTTGCTTCTCCAAATGATTGCTTATCTAGTATGTTTTCTAAGCAGACCACCCCAACACCTCTCATGTTCATTGTGAACACCTCTTTAGAGCCTGCTCCTTAACATGTGCCTAGAGGGTTCTAAGTTGGGAATGCCACAGAAGTCAGAAGATATCATGTTGGCCATGATTGCAGAGTGGCATTCAGTTAGCTGTTTCTTTGCAAATGATCTCACTGTGTAGTGAGGTGACTCAAGGTCATAACCATAATATGGGTAATGCTTTCCTTGCAATCTATTCTCCAGTTATATGTGAAATCCAGGAGAACAAGGACTTTGTCGGGATTGCTAGCACTTAGCTATATGTTGTACACACTGGGGAATCAGTAACTACTTGTTGAATTGAATACATTTACCATGGCCCTTGTAATGATGATAACATAATCAAAGTGATGGTATAATTAACAGTGCTCTAAAGTGGAAGCCAGGGTCCTATTACCAACAATGCACTATGAATGAACAACTTCTCTAAACCTCTCTTTACTCATCAGAAAATTAAGGGAGATGGGGTAGATTATTTTTTAGGCCCCTTCCACTTATAAAATGCTATTTCTCTCCATTCGTGTAGGGTCATTTAATATTCCTTACCCATGAGCATGCAAACTTTGATTAGAATTCAGGATCCATTAAGAATGAAGTGGGAACAATAAAAATGGACCAATAATTAGTCACTGAGAATTCCCACCTAGAAGCAGAATGCTGTACCAGTCTAGGACACTATGGAAGGAATGTCTAGCTTGTGAGAAATACATTCTTGATCTTTTCTAGAGCCATGGCATGTATCAAAAGAAACTCCTTCATCAATAAGTCCAATTGTGGGTGGGGGGACACTCTTAAGACAAACATTCTCAGGCAAGAGAGCTTTCCAGATGGGATATATATATATCCCATCTGGGAAATGAGGCCACCACAGAAGAAGACAGTGCAAGGGAGGGCCAGTATGTTCATATAGCACATACGTGGGACTCAAGGGACTGAAGTGATACCTGGAGACACTTGCTGACCAATAGTGAGCTCCTATAGGACCAAAGGATTATAGTTTTGTTGCAGAATATTTTTTTCTGAATATTTTATTAAATTTTAATGCAACTTACTTCTGAAGTATGAGTGGCCACTATATTTTTCACTAGTGTTCATATCATGTTAATTGAAAAGAGGGAGTTTTTCAAGGGAGAGCTTGAATAAAGTGAAAGGGGTCACCTCAAAGTGCCAGGCTCCTCTGTTCCCAGGTTTAGATGATAATTACTATTCCTTCAGTGAACCCTGGCTACTCTGAGATGGGAGGGGTGGGGAGGAAGGCTGGTGTGAGGTCAGTGAAACTGTCTCCCATTTTAACCCTGCTCTGGGACTCACTCCCAGCCTTGCATCTCAAGCCTTGGCCTTTCTGTGAAATGGATGCCCCTTGGCCCCAGCTTGCAGAAAAATTGGAAGGCATACTCTAAAATAAGTTAATATTATCTATAGCCCCCGCCAAAGAAAACTGAAAACATTTGGCACAAAGAAATCGCCTTCAAGACATGTTGCATTTGCATAAATTTGTCAGGGGCCTGACTTTCAATAGGAGGAAAACAGCATGGCCTAGCATCTGTTGGTATCCTGTTGCCCTTTGCAGCTAAGGTCAGGCTATCTCACTTCTTGCTTCATCTCTGTTCCTCTACTGGCACATCTGAGGCTGCTGCTGATCACATTCACAGTCGCATGTGCTATGTGTGAGCAGCTTAAATTGTGAAATAGAATTCATTTGGTTAATATTTCAGTTTGTTGAGTCATAAGCCTGACAAGTAGCTACAGCCCATGAAGCAGTATTTCCTGAGTCATTACATGTGAGAAACAAACTGCAGCTAAAGGTTGAGCGTAGCAGACACTTGGCAAGATGATCCGACTCCACAGCCTTGCTCTAGGAGATGGATTCCTCCCTCCTCAGTTCAATGGCTTTAGTTCCCATAAACAATCCAATGCAAATCTCAGAAATTCAGGAACATGTCCCAAGAAACTATGAACTGGGCCTGGTATCCAGGTTTCCCGCCCCCCTAATTATCAAAGTGTTCCACCAGGAAATGACAATGGCTGTCAGTCTATTAATTCGTGAGCAATTTCATGCCTCTTACATGATAAGTGCAAGTTGAGAAATGAATTTCCTGCTGTTGAAATGCTAATGCCTTAGAAATTCTTCAATGAAGAAATACAAGTTTATTCTTTGCCTCAGTAATGGAAAAAAGATTATCATAAAAAAAAAAAACCCACTTAAGTGCCTTGACATATATCAGCTTAGTGTTTTTGGTTCCTGAACCATCAAACAGTGGCTCTGTCTCATGATGCAGTTTTTCATTCCATTGAGGAATCAAGATAAGCAAGACCATGATTCTACTTTTTCCTAATCATACCCTATTTTCCCATGTTCTCACAAAATGGCTTTAATTAAAATGTTATTCTATTAATTGCCCAAGAAATAATACTTGAAAGAAATATGTGCTTACGCCCTGGGAGTAGATGTTCCATCTGGAAGTCTTTAAACATTGAAATTGTGCTCTAGTCCCTTCCCCAAATGTCATCCCTCAATTCATTCCGTATTTGCTGAGTTCAAAGTACTATACTATAAAAATGTGAAGAGAAAAAATACAAACAGAAAAAATTTCAAAAATATAGCACAGCAGGGTGCAGTGGCACACACCTGTAATCCTGGAGACTCTGAAGGCTGAAGCAGGAGGATCACAAGTTCAAAGACAGCCTCTGCAACTTAGCAAGACCTTAAGCAACTTAGTGATCTCCTGTCTCAAAACAAAAAGGAAAAGGGACAGGAGACTTAGCTCAGTGGTTAAGTGTCTCTGGGTTCAGTCTCCAGTACAAAAAAAAAAAAAGCAGAATACAGGGTAACCATAATTACTTAACTGCTTATTTTCAAAACCCAGCTATTCAACATTTTCTTGCAAGATTCCTTTCCAAAACTCTTCCTCCATTGTCTAAACTCCCTCAACTCATCCTCATGGAGAATACATATAATATGTGATTTTTAAAGTTATTTTTGATGACTTACTTTAACTTCTAGATGGACTCAGAGACGGACCATGTTTATTCCTTTCCTTTTTCTCTAAGGTCTACCCCCCATGGCATGTGTGAGGCTCCCCTTATCAGTTGACCTGTTGTCTCCCTGACAGAAGGAATTGTCTTCTCAGTGCCTCTTCTGTTCGGATCCTTAATACTTAGCATATGCTCGTAGAGTTGGTAAATTGGATAAAGGTGGAATCTTCAGAACCATGCCCTTTTGGAGAAGGAGGGGGAAGAGCACAGTCCTTACTCCACGTAGCCTGAATGTTTGTCTGACACGTAGCTGAAAAAATTATAAACATATAAGGGGGGAATGTCTAAGGAGTTCAAAGTGGTTTCCGGGTCTATTACACCACTGTGGCCACACTTTGTCTTACTATTGCAATGTCACAGTGTTTGACTTTCCATGCACCCAGTTGGCCCTATTGTTCTCTCTTACTCCAAAACCTGTTTCTCCTGTTGCATTCATTTGCTCAAGACTTCTAGTAGTTCCCTTTCTTTTGATCTTATTATCAGCCCTTCATCTCCAACTATCTAGACCCTGACCAATCACATAAGAATAAAGGAAAACAGAGAGTCACTTGAAGTGGTTATCTTCAAGGTAATCAGATCTTGCACACTACATCTACATCTAATTATTATGTTGAAAGGATCTCTATTTCCCTTTGTAGTCTCAGGCTATGTGAATTGAATCCCAGGAGGAAAAAGAAAGAATTTTAAAAGCTCATTCTGCTACAGATGAGTTTTGTTTCAGAATGTTGATTCTGAAACAATATATAAGATAGAAAGTTGTACAGGTGAATTAAAACATAGTTGTTGAAGATCCACTGGGAGATGGATAATTTAGCAATCTATGGCTCTAGAACAAGAGAAATTGGAGTGAACACCTGTCTGGAACCCAAGGACTCCAGAGTCCCTTGTTCAAACCAGATAACATGGAAAGTCTTCTGCAAAATTCCATAGTTAGTGGATGAAGAACAAAGAAGTAAAACCCTAACACTGACCTTGGGAGACATTTCTCAGGGCTCAGCTGCAGTCACCTCCCCTCACCAGGGATTTCTTTATTCCAATTTTTAAAATTGTGAGATAAGTTTTCCATTCACACACACAAAAAAAAAGTGAACAGAAAGCATACCCATATAAAACATCATGAGCATGTACAGATGTGTAAAAACCTCCCAGATAACCACTTTCTGATTTTTTTTCTGAAATCATTCACTTACCTTTCTTAACACCATTGTGTCTGGTCTTGTATTTCATATAATTAGAATCACACTGCTTGTATTTTTTATGACTTGGTTTATTTGCTCTGCCATGTGTTTGTGTGATTCATCCATGATGTTCCATGCAGCTGTACTTAGTTTGTTTTCTCTGCCATTAGTGGATAAGGGTAAGGACCAGACATCCAGACCGCCCAGATTTGAATCCTAGCTCCATCACTATTCAGATGTATGACCTTGTGCAAATTATTTCTTCACTTTGTGCCTTGGTTTTCTTTACCTGGTATGGTGTGAGTCAGAGATTCATCTTAGGTGGACCTCCCTGGGAAACAGTTTCTGAGTTCATGATCCATATACATGATGCTTACTGGAGAATGAACATGGGAACAACATCTGGAAAGAAGTGAAGGAAGCAGGTTTGAACAGAGAAAGAATTCGAATGGGGAAGCAGATGCAGCTGAGGCTCCACAGATACCTGGGGAGCTCCAGTGCTGGCATGGCCTTCCCAGGATGCCTCAAATTGATGGAATTTATACTCCTACATCATGAGGGGCACAGCCTTCAGCAAGGAAGCTCTCATAGGACAAGAAGGATTCCTGAGGATTCAGTTGTGAAGTTTCAATAGTAACATTCCCATTACATTAATGCCATCATGCTAAAGGGGAGATCTGAGCACATCACCACTGCACACAAGCCAAGTCCCAATTTAATTTTTTCCCATACAAATAATTGTCCATCAAGTATTTTTTTTTGGTGGGGGGGTGCTAGGGATTGAATCATGTGCCTTTACCAATGAGCTACATTCCCAGCCCTTTATTTATTTATTTTTATTTTGAGAAAGGGTCTCACTGAGTTGTTTAAGGCCTTGCTACATTGCTGAGGCTGGCTTTGAACTTGGCAATGCTCCTGCCTCAGCCTTCTGAGTTGCTGGGATTACAGGCATATACCACTGTGTCTGGCCCTCTAAGTACCTTTCTCCACCAGTATGTCATAATACTTCTCATATTAATTAATCATTTGGGGTTTCCTTTCTAAGTTTTTACTTTTAATATACTTTCTTGGGCAACTATATAATTAAACCAAATGATATTAACACATGTAGATTACTAATCAATAGCATAAGAACAAAGAGATAGGTCTTGACTTACTAGAGATGAAGAGTGTCTATGTTGTTCTTCACCCTTTGACAATCTTTCATCTTCCCTTTCTTATATATTAAATGTTCTCACCTGTTTTATCCTTCAGGAAGGTGTAGTCTACCATGTGTTCTTCAAGACTAGCCAAAACATGATCATAGGCCTCAAATCCTTCCTTCTCTGTGATTCCTCAGAACTTCAAGAACTATCTATTAAATGCTATAGGTTCAAGCCTTAAATCAAGTCCTATACCAGTGTGACCCCTATTTAACCTCCACATGCTTCAGTTTCCTTATGACATTTTGTGAGAATTCAATTTAAAGTGCTTATGTGTTTTTATTTTCTAACCTAAATCATGAGGTTTCCTAGTGCCAGGATCATAGACCATTCATCTTTGTATCTCCATTACCTAGCTCATGGTTTCATTATATGAATACCATAGAAATTTAGGACAGTAAGATTCCTATCTAGAATCCAAGCAGCACATTGGCTTACTGGAAAGAATACTCAAAGGCATTCATATGTAAGTCAATGGAAATAAAGCCCCAACACAGGAAAGTTTGGTTTAAAATCATAAAAGCAGCAACTATTTTCTTCATTTCAAGCCTCTGTCTCCCACATACTCCTTTTCCTGAGCAAAGGGCCCACACCACCATCACTGGTCTACACAGAATCTCAGATTTCCCCGTGGGCTACGGGAAAGTGATAAACTGAAGGAGGAGGAGGAGGAGGAGGGGAAAGAAAAGGAAAAAGGGGAAGAAGGGGAATAAAAGGAAAAAGGGGGAAAGTAAGAGGAAGAAGAGGAGGAAGAAAAGGAGGAAGAGAAAAAGTGAAAAGAACTAAGGGGAGGAGGACTATGTAATATTCTAGACACCCCTTCTTTTTGAGATGCTAAACAGAATATTACAAAATATTCCCATCTCAGATCTTTGGAGAACGTTTCTACCCCCCAAAAAAGAAAGAAAAAGTACTTCAATTGCAGTTCTGTCTGGATAGTGTACCACCTTGAGTAGTAAATGAGTACACCAAAGACAGAAAATTCTGCTTTCCCCTCCAAGCTCAGAAAGATGATTTTAAAATAACGACTTCATTCTTGTTCTCAGGCATTGTGTATTCAGAAGTATTGAGGTGCACCTTTAACAACAAATATCTGGATCTGTTTTGCTTTTAGATTTCTATTTTAACAAACAGGAAGCTTAAACACTGGGCTGTCACAATAATGGATACGTGTGACTTCTGGCCTGTGGAAACCACAGAACAAATGTTTGATGAATGACTGTATGGAGAGGCTTTAATCACAAATGACACCAAATGACAGGGTCCGTTTAGATGCAGTTAAGTAAGAGAGCTTGTTAAAAAAAACAAGGCCTTTGAATTCCATCCAAATAGAGAAAAGATCAGTAGAGTTGACAAAGGGATTTGGGGGGTACAAATGAGGGACAGAAAAAGGAAAGAACAACGGTGGAATGAATCTGACCAAAATTTCATGTGTATATACATGAATATAAAACAGTGAATCCTGACATCAAATATATCCACAAGACACTAATTTAAAAAAAAAGAAAAACTATGAATTAATTGCAAAAAGATCAGTAGAATAGAGGGAGGAGAGCAGAGGTAGGGAAGAGGAGGGAGGTGTTGGGAACTAGATTAGAGTAAATTATATTTCATGTTTTGTGATTAAGTCTAAATATAGCCTAATGTTATATATAACTAAAAAGAACCAATAAAATGCTATGACATTCTATTACATATGTAAATTAGTAAAATGTAAAACTTTTTTAAAAATAATAATAAACATGGCCTTCAACTACTGCGGGCTTCCCTTATTGCTATGGGCTGTTTGGAGTGTGAGACTATCGTAGGTCTCTTCTTGGTTGTATTTGTACTGAAAAAGATGCTTTTATCACTTAATGTGACTGTATCACATCAACGACAATAAGAGCAGATTTAATAGAGAGTAAATTTATTTGAGTAAAAAATGGAACAATTTCCTTTTTATTTTCAGAAGATTTTTTTTTTGGAAAAGAATGTAAAATTAAGCCAATAGTGTTGGATCACAGACACCTGGTCCTTGCCTAGGCTGTTAAAAGGTGAAAAGGTGACAGGTAGATTCAATAAGGCTATCCTCAAGTCTGGGTCGTAAGGCTCAAAATTAGTACAGACTGGAAAAACTCAAAGGCAAGGAACAAACTGAGTCTATTCACAAGGTCAAAAGAGCTTTTACCTTTGTTATAATGCTTATATTGTATGTTACAAGTTAGCAGGTTTTTCTTTTCCAGAACCACCTTTGTCTTTACCAGAAGCACCATTACACTGAGATTATGGCTCAACTCAGTAAAGTATAAATATATTTCCTCCTTTTGGACTTTATCTCCTGAGTAGCTTTTATTCAAGTGATCATATGACAAAGCTCTGAACCTCAGGGATTTTAGTAGGTCAGTAGGGCATTAGGGAAGTAGACCATCCTGGCTGCAAGAATAATCCTGCAAAGTTTGCTGTTGTGTCCTCTGGGTGCAAGTTGAAGAATGAAGTAGCACTTCTGTTTGCAACTGGATGCAGTTTTACTGGCAGGGCCTTAAATAAGTCAGATAGTACATTACCAATGTGGACAACTGAGAGGACTAGAAATGGTATTTCAGAGTGTGCTGCTCTTTTTGCTCACGCTCAGCACAAGACTAACTGAATAGCAGATAAGTCAGGGCCAAGCCTCAAATCTACACAGAGATGGCTTTCCAGGGATGAGAGGATGCTTTATGGAGCAATTATTTTATGCTTTGGCTCTCTGCACTTTTAGTCCCCTCTTAACTTAGGGGAGCTCCAAATGTATTGGGTCTAAAGCAGAAGATGTCTAAGGACAAGAATTTTCTTTATTTGTAAAAGCCCAAACTAAATGAGAAGATTAGCATAGCAATTCTGGAGGGAAGGAGGAAAGGCAAGATGTCTTTGAGGAGAAAAGAGATTCTAAGAAGTGGAGAGAGGTGTATTATCCAAGAGGAGAAAAGACATGAAGTTCTGACTTCCAACTATAAAGAGGACTACACATCTCTCCAATCAGGACCCCAAAGAAGGGACAGGACTCTGGGAAATGGCTGTATTTTATACAGAGGAAAGTTAACTAACACAAGATCTGGGATTTCCAACTTGGCAAGCTTTCTGAATTCCAAGCGTGGCCTCCTGTTTGTGCTCCAAGCATGAAATTCTGCACTTCAGCTAACCATGTGGGCCTAGCAAATGGATCCTTTTGGGGGTCCTAAGAGCAGAGAGACATTCTCCCAATGTTTTCTTCTGCACATGTCTCCTAGGAACTTACAAATAATAAATAAGATGGTAGAAACCAAGAAGCTCATTAATATGAAATTTAGTATTTTACAATTCTGGTGGTATAGAGAGTAAGGATCAAATTTTAAAAAGAATGTGAGTTGTTCCATATATTCAAGTTTTTTTTAGTGTAAGATTCACATTCACTACTCGAGGCTTGAAGATACAAAGGAAACTTATGTCAAAAGCAATGTGTTTCAATTCACAATAGCCAAATTATGGAACCAGCCCAAGAGTCCAGCCCAAGAAAGTGTGGTATATATACACAACAGAATTTTATTCAGTCATATAGGAAAATGAAACTATGTCATGTGCAGGAAAATGATTGGTACTAGAGAGCATCATGTTAGCAAAATAAGTCAAACTCAGAAAGTTCAGGGTCAAGTATGTTTTCTCTCATATTTGGAAGCTAGAGAGGAAAAAGGAAGAAAAAGAAAAGGTGGGAGCAGATCTCATGAAAATCAAAGGGAGATCAGTACCTGAAAGGGACCAAGGGGTGAGAGGTGGGGAGGGACAGGGAAAGTGCTGGGGAGTGATATTGGCCAAATTACATTGTTATTGTGTGTTGGTGCAAGTACAAATATACAACAACAAATCTCATCAGTATGTACAATTATAATGCACTAATTTTTAAAAATGTGATAAAAGTAACTTGTTTGAAACACAGTTATCAGGGATGAATTATTTTATTCAGGGTAATTTAATTAGAAATTATTAAGAGTAATTTAATTTAATATAATTAGTAATTGAATTAATTCTGCGAGAATGAAAGACTCCTATTAAAATTCATATCTAACATGTTAGATCATTTTCCTAGTGGTGTCACATCTTACTAAGATAAAAGTCAGAAGTCCTCATGCTATAGCTTTCAAGCCCTGAAACATTCTCCTTCACTGTTAATGGCTCTCTCCTCCTCTCTAGTCTCCTCCTCTACCTTCTCTATTCATTGAGCTGTCTTCTGCTCTAGCCTTATTGAGCTGACCTCCTTGTAGACACTGGTACCTGCTAAGCACACGCCCTCTGGGTCTCCACCCCTTTGCCTAATCCTAACTGCTTCCTCCTCCCACTGGACAAGTATCCCCTCTTTAAGAGGCCTTCTGATCACACCATAAAAGCAATTCCTCTATTCCTCTTACCTCTTTGAGGTATTTGATTTACCATTGTGTTCCCTCTACCAACACTTTGTTTTTTTTTTTTTTTTTTTTTTTTTTTGCCAATGAAGCATTGAAACCATCAAAATTAAATAAACATTTTATTAAAAAACAGAAACTATCAGTGTGGATTGTGTGTAGTTTCTGTTGATTGTTTAGTGAAGCTCCCCACCGACATGCTTATATTTCAGTATCAAGTACACACAAAATTCTCATGTGGTGAAAATGTCTTCAGTTTCTGTGGAATAACTCCATATTGCAGACATGACATTGAACATTATGTAGAAGAAGATGCAAAATAGCAGCTTTTCAAATATTAACATGTTAAGTATGACAGCATCTACTAAACACAAGTCATAAATTAAGACGAAGATTATGGATTAAAATGTATTTTGCTTATAAAAAATGGTATTTGTTGAGGTCCTACACCACGTGCAGCACACAGTAGCAAGACTTATTGAAACAAGAAGTTGTGCAAAATGAACTCAGAAGTATCTCTGAGCTTTGCATCATGTGAACCTATAATTTTATTTGCTTATCATTGAGTAGACTGTGTGTTGTGTCTGTGTTCATGCATATGAGTGTATCATGGCAAGAACCACAAGTACTTTGTATTAAAGTCACTTGAGTATGTGCCTGCTTTTCTTGTAATACTCACATATTTATTAAGCAAAATTTTTGACACCTTCTTTGTAGGTACTAGATAATGGTAATATAGAAATAATTATGAGGGACTTTGACCCTGTGTTCATGAAAATGACTCATCCTGCAGGAGAAAAAGCCATGTCTTTCATCCATGCCCTCTTGTACTCTGAGACCCAGCCATAAAGAATTTCCTTTAGTTCTTAGGTTCTTAAAGAGGATGCTTTCTTGGTGGTATCTGGAGTTCTATACAAACTTTTCTGTCTTCCATTAAGAATCCAGTAATCAGCATGTACATACCCAGTGACCCTGCGATTCCACTCGGGAGACATAAATAATAGAAATGCATTTTTTTTCACTGAAAGAGCTAATATAAGAGGATTTTTGCTCTTTCAAATAAACTAAAGGCAAATCAATATATTAGGATTTCTACAATAGTACTTATTACCAGATGAAGGCTAAATTGGACCTATCTATACAATCTTTTGCAATTTCTGTGTAGGTACTTCATCACTAAGATTTTTAAAATACAATAATCGCTGTGTAAATGTCACTTAGCAACTTTAAATAAAATTCAGACTCAGTTAGAAACTGAGCATACAAAAGACAATGAGTCATTGTTAAGATCTGTCTTCTGTGTTACTTTACAGTTTTCAAAAAGGTTTCTCTATTTTTTCTTTTTTATTGATTTTTTTAAAAAATAAATGACAGCAGAATGCACTACAATTCTTATTACACATATACAGTATAATTTTTCATATTTCTGGTTATATAAAGTGTGTTGACACCAATTCGTGTCTTCATGCATGTACTTTGGATAATGATGTCTATCCCATTCCACCATCCTTGCTAACCCCCTGCCCCCTCCCTTTCCCTCCTACCCGTCTGCCCTATCTAGAGTCAGTCTATTCCTCCCATGCTCCCCCTCCCTATCTCATTATGAGTCAGCCTCCTTATATCAGAGAAAACATTTGGCATTTGGTTTTTTGGGATTAGCTAACTTCACTTAGTATTATCTTCTCCAAAGCCATCCATTTACCTGCAAATGCCATAATTTCATTCTCTTTTATTGCTGAGTAAAATTCCATTGTGTATATATAGCCACATTTTTTTTATCCGTTCATCTACTGAAGGACATCTAGGTTGCCTCCAAAGTTTAGCTATTGTGAATTGTGCTGCTATAAACATTGATGTGGCTAAGTCCCTGTAGTATATTGATTTTAAGTCCTCTGGGTATAGACAAAAAAAGGGATAGCTGGGTCAAATGGTGGTTCTATTCTCAGATTTTCCAAGAAATCTCCATATTGCTTTTCATATTGTCTCCACCAATTTACAATACTACCAGCAGTGTATGAGAGTACCTTTTTCCCCATATCCTAGCCAACACTTATTTTTGTTTGTCTTCATAATAGCTGCCATTCTGATAGAGTAAGATGAAACCTTAGAGTAGTTTGATTTGCATTTCTCTAATTGCTAGCAATGATGAACATTTTTTCAAATATTTGCTGACTGATTGTATATCCTCTTCTGAGAAGTGTCTGTTCAGGTCCTTGGCCCATTTATTGATTGGGTTACTTGGTGTGTTGGTGCTTAACTTTTTGAGTTCTTTATATACCCTAGAGATTGGTGCTTTATCTGATGTGTGAGGGGTAAAGATTTGCTCTCAAGATGTAGGCTCTCTATTCACCTCACAGATTGTTTCTTTTGCTGAGAAGAAGCTTTTTAGTTTTAGTCCATCCCATTTATTGATTCTTCATTTTAATTATTGAGCCAAAGGAGTCTTGTACATGTATGAAGACACAAATTGGTGTGAATATACTTCGTATACAACCAGAGATATGAAAAATTGTGTTCTATATGTGTAATAAGAACTGTGATGCATTCTGCTGCCATATATAAATAAAAAAGTAATATTAAAAAAAAGATAAGTGCTAAACTATTAGAAAAAAATAATTTCTCTTCCTGGTTTTTAGATCTCATTGAGCCCAGAAGTACATAGACTAGAGAGCCTGAATGGGCCAATTAGAATGGCAAATAAATCAAGCATGATTGTGTTTCAAAGATAACAAGGATTATAAAAGAAAGACTACGTGGGTCATTGTTTTCACTTTTCTGGAACTTGTTTCCTTTCAGCCCTCAGAAAGACACAATGGGGAATTTATGGTAGAGGAGGAAGTGAACTTCTCAGGCGCACTAGTCAGAGCCAAGGCTGATTCAACAGTAAGTATCACATTAGCAAGCGGCACTCCACCATGCTTCTGTGTCCCCTCCTCTCTCCACTCATGTCTCCTCAAGACAGCTCTCTCCATCTGCCCATACCATCAACCTATCAGTCACAGAAACAAACAAAAAACATAAAGGTATGTGTATACTTAATAAGAGGATGGTATTATTGGCCATAAAGGTTCTTTTGGAAGTCTTAAGGGCTTCCCCACAAACTTATGGTCAAAACAGAGCTCTTGATGCTCCCTGTGCAAATCAGCTCACACTCAAGGCTTCTTCATTTTGGTGCATGATACCATGATTCACCAAACTGTCAAGAATTTACCCTAGATTCTTCCTTAACCCACCACAATGCTACATAATCCATCAAGGAATCCTATCACTTTTACATTCAAAATGCACCTCAAACTTGCCTCCTTGTCTGTCTCTCCACTGCACCTACCTGATCCAAGCCTCATCATTTCTTACCTTGATTACTCTGGATTCCTTCAGCAGCATCCTAACAGTTTTCTTGCTTCCATTCGATGAAACAGCCAGGGTAGTCTTAAAGAAAAGAAAAAGAAGTTGGGTCACATTGTCATTCCACTTATAAAAACCCTAATGACTTTCCACTGTACCTAGAATAAAGTACAGAGTCTTTACCATGCCCCCTCCGAGTTCTCAAGCTCTCATATTAGATTTCAACCTGGGCAATATAGCAAGACCCCATTGCAAATAAATAAATAAAAATGTGTTGGTGGTTTTGCTGTCCATTTTTCCCCTCTCATCTTTCATCAAAATGACTAAAATATAAGGGGGGAAAAAAAGAAGAGAGGTAAAAAAAAAATAGCATTCCCAAGGAAAACAGAACTGTTTCAGATTCAAATGTTCAACATGAAATGAAAAGTAAAGAGACTGTGGTTGATGAATGAGGCCTAGGCAAAGCACGTGCCAGCAGAGTTTAAGGGAGACATAGAGTTTGGGATGGTATGATTACTAAGCAAACACTTTTGTTCTTTTTATTATCATGAGTATTATTTTTCATTGTGGAACTAGGTGGAGGAAGAGCTACAGAGTATTAATACCTTACACCTGAGTTAGAAAAAAAAATGAAATCAAAGCATTTCTCACACTTTAATTGCTGTCCCATTGCTCAACTTCCCCCAGGGACCATAGGTCTATTTCTATCTGAGATATTAAAACTTCTTCTTACTTTAAAAGAGACCCTCACAGAAGGAGAGAGAGAGAGATTTTGTAAGTGTCCATTAAACTTTGTGAACAAAATACTGACTAGACATTATAAGTGGGTTTGTGACCAAGGCCCACCATAAGACTGAGGGATTTCCCTCATTTGTTAATGTATCTTTGTTTTTTATGAATCACATATATTAAAAGTTACTCTTTATAAAGACTCCATTCAAAGCAATGAGTCAAAATCTTTTTTCCTTTGTTTTATGAACAGAGAGGTTTCTATTTACCTAAGATGTGTCCTTTTGTCAACAAACAATTACAGACATGAATAGCAGCTTTGTTACCTCTTTAGCCAATGTAAATAAGAGAATTATGAACTCTGTCTAGCACCATTCTGGGTGACCAGCAAGAAAGAATTTGGTTATTGTGCTTAAAATCCCAGCTGAACTCTTCCCTCATTAACAGTGGGCACAGGACTCTGAGCCCACTGTTAAAAAGTTTTATTTAGATTGTTACTAAGCTAGAAAATCTACTAGTATTTAGTCAAAAAATGACCGCAACAGTAAATATAGTAAAATGGAAAAGCAGGCATCTTGTGATGGTCTGCAATGACTGTTTGTAACACGGTACCTCTTTCTCCATCCAGGCTGAGCCTTGGATTAAATTATCACCCAAAGATCCAGTAAGAATAAATCCATTTTCCCTAGAATTCTGATTTACTGGCATATGTTTTATTTCTTTATTTGATGGTTCCAAAAAGAGAAAATCATTCTGGAATATGAGGCAATAATGGGAAACCATGTAGGTCAGAATGTTGTCATGAAAAAAAAAAAAATAATTCAATTCCCAACCTGAGAATCGGGAACCTGGTTTCTAACCCTATATAACTTTGCTGGGTCTCACATCCCAGAAAGTAAACTAACCCTGGGACCTTTTATGTCCCATTGAGCACAAAAGAGAGGGAGAGAGGAAGAAAGTTTGTACAGTAGAGTAGAATAAAGACATTTTTATTAAGAAGAATCTCCCACAAGATGCACTGCTGCACTTCTCAAATCCCAGTGACTAGGGAGACCGAGACACGAGTTACACCAGGTGAAGGCAAGCCTTTGCAATTTAGTGAGACCCTGTCTCAAAAATTTAAAAAAAAAAGTGTTGGGGGGACTGGAGATGCAGCTCATATGATTGAGGGGCCCTGGGTTCAATCCCCATTGCCCCCACCAAAAAAAAAAAAAAAAGAATCTCACAAAGTCTTTCCTAAAGATGATGTTGTTTACTGGGAATACTTATTAAAAAGGCTATTTGTCATGGATGATTTCGACACAGAACATCAAATCTGCCACAGGATACCTAAATGAGGTGCTTCTAGTCCAGTTCAACTTAAACAACATTTATTAAGACTTATTTGTGGGGAGCAGTAACTAGACTTTGGACATCATAGAGAACTGTTTCTTGATGTTGTGAATTTATTTTTATAGTTAGGAAGAGTTTTCCCTTGTATTTTACTGATGCACATGGAGCTCTTTCATACAAAGAGGAGAAGAAAAATTGCTGATGGCCCAAACATTATTTTTCATTATTTTTGAGCCAAGACTTTTAACTTTCAGCAAATCCTCACTATCCCTTATGTGCTCAGATGTGCTGGAAACTTGCAGTAGCAGAACTAGTTCACAGAAAGAGAGGAAACTCTTTGCACCAAGTTTCAATTAAAAAATGGGAAATGAGTCTCTAAAAGGAAGTTGCAGCCATGGACAAAGAGGAGATTAGAAATGAAAAGGGCCCAGAGAGTAGGTTTAAACCTGACTGTCTGAAATCCAGGACAGCATGGAGATCTGGCCATTAGGTCAGTGGCAGATGTAAGAGATTTGCAGTGTACAGGATGTTCTCAAAGGAGTATGCTTGGATTAATATACATATAACAATATATAAACTCTTCTTTGTTTTCTTTTTTATTTCATGCAGTTCTCCACCATCTCTTGGCTCTGGGGCAGTCTATGCCAACCCCTGGCTAGTCCCACAGCACTTCAACCTTATGTTACCATGTCATCACACACACAGAGAACAGCTGCAGGGCCCTGGCACTTGTTCTTCCCTTGGCTTGGTTTGTTCTTCACCCAGATATGTGCTTGCTCATGTCCTGACTCCCTTCAAGTCTTATCTCAAATATAGCATTATCATAGAAGCTTCCCTTCCTGTTTAAACTGGCACTCCCTTGTGGATCTCTATTCACTCATCTGCCATGTTTTTTTTTTATAGTCCTGCTCACCTCCTGACATGTGCATTCATCTAAACATATTAATTTGTTGTTGTTGTTGTTATTATTATTATTATTATTATTATTATTATTTTGCTCTATCTCTGACTAGAGTGTGAGCCTTAGGAGAATGGAGAGTTTGATGGTCCATTTTTGCATCCCAGCTCCTGTCACAGTGCCTGGAGTAGAGTAGGTGCCTCAAAAGTATATGTTGAATGCATTAGTTAAATGTACTCAGTACAAGTGGTTGTTTTCAGAATAGATGGAAATACTGGGCAAGTAGAGAAAGAGAAGGGGTCCAGACCATTTCCTACACTCGGATTTTCCTCTTCTATCTTTGGAAGCAAAGGCTGGATAAATCGTTTCCTCTCAGGAAACAGTTATAGACTATAAGCAGTATAGAAGCTGAAACTTCTTTAAGCTCTGGAGATGACCATAAACTTTAACTTTTCCTAGAGGGAACATTTACACAACATGTGTTAGACATTTAATTGTCCTGATTACAAAGAGCAGCTAAAGCCTAGGAACAGGCCCCCATGAGGATGTAGCTGATAGCAATAGTAACTTCTTACCCACCTCAGTACCCCTTAAAAAAGTATTTCCAGCCTAGGTTTGGCTGGTCTGGTTGACATTTGGTTCAGGAAGTTTAAACTTTTATAGTACCAATTAAAATCTAACACATATTCAGATACTCTTCCTCCATCTGTGCAGGAAATCAGCTTCTCTCCTACCTTGAGAGCTCCTAAAGCAGAAAGAAGAAAATGTCCACTTTCTCCTTCCCACTTGGCTTTGGATGACTAACATTTGGGAGCATTTGTAAGTTTAGTCCTGATGATTCTTGACAGAGGACACCCTCAGAGGAGCTTTGTAAGACATTTTATTGTTTCTGCTTGTGTCAGAGGGTACATTTTGTTCAGATGAACATCCTGAAAGTTCCCTGGCCCTTGTGTTAAACTATGATGAATGTGGGACTGCACACATTCTTCATGTCTACATATTGAATCCTCCAAAAAGTCACTGGGCTGCTGGGTCCAGACAGCTTTCAACGGTGCACATCTGTAATCCCAGTGACTGAGGAGGCCTCAAATAGTGACCACAAGTTTGAGGACAGCCTCAGCAACTTAGTAAGGCCCTAAGCAACTTAGTGAAATCCTGTCTCAAAGTTTACAAAAATAACTAAAAATGCCTGGAGATGTGGCTCAGTGGTAAAGCAGTCCTGGGTTAAGTCCCCCACCTACCCCCCAACAACAACAAAAAAATAATAAAGTCCCTCAATTCATGATTGCTGTCTTCTGACTCTTTACATCCTAACCCGAGTACTCTAGATTATTAACTTCACCTCCAGGCTGGTGACAAGGAGGCTGCTTAAGTCCCGTAGATGCCCTCTGGATCCACACCTGCCAGCATGAAGATTTTGGAGGTTTTCCATCCCTTCACCCTTCTCCATGGTCAGGAAGCAGGATTTGCAGGGCTCTCTCTCTTCCTTTGCCAATATATTCCCTTTCTCATACAACAGTACCACCATCTAGCCCTTAGCCTTGTGGTACTGCTGCTTGTGGTGTTGGTTGTAATATGGAGGATTTTGCATGGCCCATCTTAGGAGGAAGGTGAGTCTGAAGCTTTGAAGGTGAACTTGAAGGAAGACACCTCTGTGATCCAACTCTGCTTCACAGAAAGCAGCAGGTTCTAATTCTGCTAATTCCCTAGGAGTAGCCATGGAAATTAAAAGGAAAGAATTGGTGTTTCTCTATCTACAGTCTCATTTGCCATACTTTTTAACATTTTTACAACCAGTTTTGGCTGGTTTTAAAGATCTTTTGATGGTCTGCTTTCTCAACCAGGAAATGCCAGTTTGATGTCCTGAACTGCACTATGAAGCTCTTGGCTTTCAGAGTAAGGAGCATCTGAGGAGAAGGGCTTCAGTCCTTTACCCAACTGTGCAGCCCTGCCAGAGGCCTTCTTATGGAAGTAGATGAGCCCCAGGTTCCATTCCCATGTTCTGAGAACTGAGAATGACAGCTTAAAACATGAACTGCCTGTAGGCTGGGAGAGGAACCCATAGACCCCTTTGACCATGTAAGGAAATTCTTTCTTCCTTTAATGCTCCCAGAGTTCCATGTTACTTTTAAATGCATCACTGGGTCAACAGCATAGGGGGTGGGGAAGCTTCTTTTCCATTCTAGGTCAACAGATGACAATATAAAGAAAATAAAATTAAATTACATGAAGATAAGGAAACTAACCCAAAATTCAGAACTGAAGTGTCATTTTTGAAAGATGATGGTTAGCCTTTATAAGATGCTAACGGTGACCATACACCACACCTGAGAAGGTAGATGGCCTCATTATATGAATTTTACTATTGAAGGAAGAGAGGTAGCACAAAGTTCAAGTGACAGTCCCAAAGCCACGCAGCCCTTAAGTGGTAGAGCCTGGACCAAACCCTCAGCCTACGTGCTAAACAGTTTATGCCAAGGTTTCTCAAAGTGTTTTTTATAAGAAAGTAGTCCCACAGAATGCTTCACTTAAAAATGACCCTAGAGTCATTTAAGTCACTTTAATGTGTGGTAAATCACCATGAATATTGTTTAATGGAGGCTTTGAAGAGACTTACACAGACTTTCACAAACTCACTTGAGCATGGCACACTTTTCTGCAAAACCACCACTAATACCCCAGTAAACACACAGTTGCAGAAAGTCCCGCTTACCATGGTGGCAGAAAACAGGATTTCAGACTCCCTTCACATACTTTGTGGCTCTGGACACTGCCTATTACAAAGGAGTTTACTCCATATTTCCCAAGTGAGTCACAAAATAGAAACTCTTTGTCATGAGTCTCTAAATATCTGTGGAAGATTGGAGAGTGGTCTTTAGTTTTGCCTGGTCCATGTGACAAAGGCTTGATCCCCAGGGTGGTGCAATTGGGAGGTACCTAGAGGGGCATCCTTAGGTCATTGTGGAGTGACCCCCAAATAGACTGTGAGATCCCAGTCTCCTCCTCTCCTCTTCTTTGTTGTTTTCCTACTTTGTGATGTAAGCAGTTGGCTCTGTCACACACTCCTGCCATGATGTACAGCTCTTGCTGAGGCCCAAATCAATGGGGGCACCTGATCTTGGGCTAGAATTTGCAGAGTGTGAGCCAAAACAATTTTTTCTCCTCATATGTTAATTACTCAGGTAGTTTGTTATAGTAATGTGAAGCTGACTGGTATACCTGGTTGGAAGATCCTCCAGGATAGATCTATCAAAGACAGTTTATGTGATCACTAAGTTAAGTGCTAGGCATGGGCCAGAACTGCTCTATTGCTCCTTAAAAATGAAAAAATAAAATTACAGTGAACCAAGCCCACCTGGCTGCCCTCCAAAGTCAGTCAAAATTTCTAAAGGCAGACAACTGTAAAAACTTAACTAGGAAATTCATAGAAATGAATGATTATCTATAATTAAAGAAAAAGACAAAATTGAATAAAAGTTATCCCTTTCTCTTTCAAATCTCTAAGCACCCACAGTCCTCAAAGGGACACAATTTTCCGACATAAGTTCTTGCATCCCTCAATGAATAGCATCCAGAGCATATACTAGTTCTCACAAGTTGTGGTGGATTTGGACAAATGAAATACCTTTTATTATGTTTGTTTCCTCATACAAAAATGAAATAATAAAAGTTCCATTTCAAAAGGTTTTTATGAGGATTAAGCAAGATAATGCATGTAAGGTGCTTAACTCAGTTAAGCTGTATAAATACCGTTTCTGCACATAGTAAATGCTCATTAAAATAGGCTATTGTTAAGGTAGTACAAATAGTTGTGCTAAACTTAGATCTACATGGCCCTAGGCCAGTCATTTCTTCCTTTCAGGAGCCTGTTTTCTTCAAGTGTCTAGTTCCTTGGCCTAACAAAGAAAACAATGTAATAAAAGTGGCCTCATTAGATGAATACAGTATATAAAGGTGATAGCCTGTCTTAACTAGACTCACAAGTTCTGGACAGAAGCTTAGGACCTTCCAGTCTTACCAGTATTAAAAGCATTTAAATTAGAGTTCCCTGAACAAAGAAAGTCTAGGTATTAATCAGAAAAGGACTTCTCTTCATCATCATGTTATTTACTAAGGCAGGGGAGTGTCATTGGATAGAGGGGAAAGCAGTAGCTCGTATGGAGTGAGCTCTTTTCTGCACCATCTCTGGTCTAAGTACCTGATACAAATCCTCTTATTTGATACTCACCACAACCTAATAATATAGGTGCTATTTTTACACAAATTTTCCAGACAAGAAAACAGATCCTTATAGAGGTCAAGGCAGCAGCCTGGGGTCATATGGCAGGTAAGTGTTTCTGTGCTTTGATCTGATTCCAAGTTCTAGACTCAATATTTTAATACATTTGCTGCACTACCTACTTGGGAACCCACAGCCCTGCTGGAAAAATCTAAATGGCCTACAAGAATCTGTTACGTCTGTCGTCTATGCAGGTTTTCTATGCCCAGAGAAACAACCAGAATGCCATCTCTTAAACCAGAGAACACCACCACCTTGCCCATGATACACTGGTTTCCAAACATCAGAAACTCTTGTGTTATTTGAGTAATGCCAACTGAATTTTGGATATTTCATTGCTTAAGAGAATAATAATCCTCCCTGCATATGACCTGTACATGAGTCTTCCTAATCCCTAAATAGGGATAATTCCTCAATACCACAATCTCTAGTTTTCTATAAACTAGTATTAATCCTATCACTTGATCCTCCTTAAAACAAGAGACATTGTTGAGATTCAGGCATCCCAAAGTCATAAGGATGTTAGGAGGAGAGATTATGTAATAGCATAATCAGATCCACACTGAGAGTGATGAAATCAACCCTAGGATTGAACCTCCTGAAACCAGGGCCTTGTCTTTGAGTTGCTGGCTATTTGTTTTGGCATCGTAAAGGGACGAACTGTTAATAGATATTTTTTCTTAATTCTGAAAATAATTCACTTTTTATGTAGTATGTCTGCCATGAATATATCAAGAAATTCAAAAAGAAAATATTATATTTTATTTGAAAATTATAGGAGTGCCATACAAGCTTTTTTTGGGACTGGGGATTGAACTCAGGGAGACTTTAACACTAACAGCCCCAGTCTTTTTTATTTTTTAATTTGAAATAGGGTCTCATTAATTTGCTTAGGGGCATGTGAAATTGCCAAGGGTGGCCCCAAATTTGCAATCCTCCTTCCTCAGCCTCCTGAGTCTCTGGGCTTAAAGGTGTGTACCACTGTACTCAGTTGATATTTAAGAAAATTTAAAATAAACTGTTGATACAAACTAGTGACAACCACACTGTGTAAAATACATGCTGTTTTAGCTCCTCTTTCCAAGTCCAGCGATTTTCTAAGGGAGGCTACCGTATACAAGCCCCACCTGGAACTGCTAAGTCTGCTATGTGTCTGAATTAAACAGACACAAGTAGTGAGTCTTACTTAGCGAGTACTTTCTATGTGGCAGATACTGTTCATGGAGTCTCCACTAGAGCCCTGGGATGGAGGTAAGGAAAGTGAGGTGATGAGGCAAAGGGAGGTGCTGCGACTCGCCTGGGGCCACACAGCTTGCTAGTGGAGAGCCTAGACTTGAACCCGGAACATGTGGCTCCAGGATCTGAGCGGCCCACTACCCTCTGACTCAGTGTTAGTTACCCTCCTGTGTCGGCTTCTCGCCCCAGGCAACTCCTAGTCAGAGAGGGCTGTAGGTGAGAAAATTCATGCCCTCTGTTTCCTTTCAAGAAAGACTTCAAAAGCTGCCAAGACTGAGAATGACTGGAAGGATAACCACCTGGCTTTGCCACAGCCTGTCAGAATGGCCAGGCCTCGAAGAACTACCTCCTACTAAGAGAGCTGGGTCAGGGACCTCCCAGAGGTGCTTATGAGCCTCAAACCCCATGTTTCAGGGGAGAAAGGTCTCCAGAACATGAGTTCTCTCCCTTCCCCAGGGTTGACCCTATGGATGAAGTCTTAGGTTGGGTGACTGGGGCCCAAGGTTAGGGAAGTCATAGGCCTCTGCCCTCCCAGAGAATACACACTCTGAAGTTCCTTGTCTGCAGCTATTTTTGATTCTTACTTCCTTAAGACTTGCCTCAAAAATATCTTCACATATTGCGTTTTCAAGAATTTTTTTGTATTACATATTGGTTCCTTTTTTTCCAGCTGAGAAATGAGTTGACAGTCAAAATTAATCAGGCAACACATGAAAACCAGCCCAACGAGTTACAGGGGAGGCTGTGTACTTGCACATTGCTGGGATTCAGCCTGAACATCCCTCAGTTGTGAACTCTGGGGTTGATGTGCACCAGTGAAGCTGGGACAAATACAGGGTTTCATGCTACCAAAGCAAACTAATCCCAAACCTACTCTCTGTAAATCATAAAATGCCAGTTCAGGAGCTGACACTGCCAAGGCCATTTGGTGCATTCACAATAAGCTGGGAGGTCAATGCCAAACTACCTGAAGTACAGAAATGGGAAAATCAAGAAATATTTATTAATACTACAACAAAAATCATAATTTTTCCAAGGAGCTCTGGGTAAACCCATAAGTTTGGAGATTATTTCCAGCACAACATTTATTGAACATCTACTATGACCAAAGAAATGTGTTAGTTTCTCAGGATACACACATATGATATGACATAATCACCTTCAACAAGACACTTGTAACATAGTATTGGTGGTAGCAACAAATATCCATGACATTTGAATAAAATTGGAGCAAAGTTTGTCCAGATATTCTCTGAGGGAGATTTATTTTGATATCAATTTAGCTTGCTGATAGTTTACTCTCTTAGATTTTGAAAAACGATACAAGGATAATACTGTTCTCAATTACTAAATAAAGATAAAAAAAACCAAAGAAACAGAATCTCCATGATACAAGTTAAAGATGTTTGCAGGTATGTAAGGAAATAAATCATTTTGCAGGTAACATGACTCCCGATGCTCCCTCCTGGGCCAATGTCTGATTGTTTAATTCACAGATAGTTGGAACAGTCAATCAGGACAGAAATCAGTGGTGTAAAATAGACTAAGCCTTGTCAAACTAGTAGCCCATCTCTCTCTCCCTTCTAAGATCCTAAATCAACTACGTGCTCCCCAGTGACAATGTGAATTCTGTCCCCTGGGAACGAATGATGACTGATCTGAGTTTGTCATGATAATACTATTCTATTTTGCCAGTGATTGGTTTAGGAGTTAGCCCCAAATTGTCTTCTGCTCCATTAGATGGCATGGCTATGTATTAGGGAGGCTGCTGGGAAAGACTTTCTTCCCTGATAGAGGCATGTAATAGTCTTGCATTCTACTAAGGATGTGTATTATGAAGGTATAGTACTTGGAGTTTCCATTTTTGTAACCATGAAGAATGATATTGTGAATGTGATAGCATCAAAAGAGTTTTGATGACATGATCAAGTTGCTAGGATACTCTTAGAAACAATCATCCCATGACTTCCTGTTATACAAGATCATAATAAGTAATTACTTCTACAAAGAAGCAAAGTACCTTGTCCCAGGCTCAAAAAGGACAAAGAGGAAGGGCTGAGATTTCAAACTCAGATAACATTCTCTTGAAAGCCATTGGCTTGGTCATTTATGTCAGACTAAAAAAAAAAATTTAAAATCTTAGAAAGTAAAAAGTGAGTATTAAGTATCCTGGCTACCTCCTTTGAAGGATGTCTTGCCACAACACTATGGTGAATATCCCCATAGCACATACTAGCAAGTTCCAGATTTATCCAGAAATTTCTGCTGCTATTCCCTAAGTCAAGGTCAGCTGTTGAGCAGCTAGTAACATTTTGACTAGTGGAGCTTAGCATAAGACTGACAAAACAGTTTGGTTTCAAGATGTTAGGGATTCAAATCCAAATGGTAGAAACATCCACAATTGTTGATGGTTTTCAATATGAAGATACACTACCCAAA